ACGAAATTTTCCTGGCTCCTCGGCAGCCGGGTTGTGTGACTCCGACGTTGCCTCGCCTAGTCATGTACCTTGGCGACGAGCGATCGCCTGAGCTACCGAGGGTCCACGAAGGTCCTTGGTCCTTTTGTGCTTATAAAAAAAAAAGTAAAGGGTTTGACAAATGCCAATACTATTTCCGAAACACTTTTAGCATTTCAAATGGTGTTTGGCAAATATTATTTGCAATTAAAAAACTTCTTTCATCTAAAGCCCTTTGTATTTATGCAAAGGCTTTGGGCAAATGCTCTCCCAAATGTAGCCATAATGGGACCGCAAAAAGATTGGCTTTAATAGTTTTTGTAGTCTGATCTATTTTATATGAAGCTGTTAATATTTCGATAAGTATAGGTTAGTGAAGCCTTCACTCATGAGAGACACATGCATGTGTAATACACACTAGGGATTCATCCAAGTCTTTGAGGAGCACTTCCTCGTCACACGAACGAGGCGTAACTTTCAAAACCTTTTTCAGATTACATCATAATACTAAAGATGCGATTAATAATCATTCTATTCTCGGAAATAATTTCTGCACAAAAATAATTTTTTTTATTCTGTTCCCGGAAACAATTTCTAAGCATTTGAAGGCATTTGGTAACAGCCCAAAATTTTCATTCCTGAAATAGAAAAAGAACATAAATGTATTTGGTAACCACACAAAATTTCTTTTTATTAATAATATTTTAAATTTTTTTAATATTTCTTTCTCTTTTTTTTTTCTTCCTTTTCTTGGCCATGGCCGGCGAGGGCATTGGGGCCCTCGCCTAGGCCGTGAGGGTCCAACTCTCGCCGGCCCTGGCCTGTGGCCAATCGCCGGTCACCGACCACTGGCCACAGGCCAGGAAAGAAGACGAACCGGCCACAGCCAGGAAGGAAAGAAGAAAAGGAAAAAAAATTCTCTTTTATTTCTGATTTTTGTTCCTAGAATCAAGAATCAACTTTTTATTATTATTCTTGATTATGTTCCAAAACTACCGGGAACAAAAAATTTACCAAACAGATTTCTATTCTTTTTTTATTCTCGGGAATAAACGAATAAAATATGTCACTATTTGACAAGTTACCAAACGTACCCTAAAAACATTAGAAGAAGAAAGTTTAACTAAGATTAAGGATGCTTCGCTCACAAGAGACACGCACGTGAATACAACATATTCCCCAATAATCGGCAATGTCCATATCCAATCGTTATGGCAATGATTGGACATCTCTCTACACTCGGTCGCTCCTCCGTCCGTTCGGCTAAATATACCTTTCCCACTAGAGTTCCACCAAAGAGGAGTAGACCCTTTTCGGCATTTCTTCGTACTTGTACGGCTTGACCATCTCAAAAGTCCGCAAAGCATCTCACAAGAGTTTAAACCGAGAGGACAAGAGCGTTATTGGCATTTCCTCTTCGTGGTTTTGTGCGGCTCGACCGCGTCAAAGTCGGCAAAACTTCCTAACTTCATTTGACATAGATAAGCCCAAGTCATATTTCACCGTTGGACGATGTTCATTTCATGTGGAGCTCATTTGATCCGATTGCAGGTATGAGTTGAACTCACGTGATCCGGGTGCACCCAACAATGTGCTCATAAAGGTCTCTTTATGCATTGCATCCAATAAGTCCCAACTTTCTCGGGATGCAGTATTTCAAGACGGTAAGTCGTGATAAATCGGTTTAAAGCATTGTATATCATAAGCGCTTCAGTAAAGACAATAATTCAAGCAAACACAACCTTTTTCATATTCGATTATGATTTTTTCTCACTAGCTAAGTCGAGCCTGTAGCACAGCCTCCCAGTTCCGTCTGTGCTAATAAAGGATCGAACATTATCCAAAAATCGCGAATTACATCCTGATTGCGAATGCCAAGTGTTTCTTACCACAAAATAGTTGTTTATTACCACTCCGTTGAATTGTTTTAGGACAACAACCGATCCTTCTCAAGTAACCACGGCGTTGAACGAAGATGACACGGACAACCTTCATGGATTTCGCGGACCTCATGCTCTCACCATGGGGTCAACGACCATGCCTGCCTGCCTTTGACAAAATAGACCGTGTGGCAAAAGTCAGGATTCTACGCCCAAGGGGCCCAAGCACGAATCTGCTTTGAACTTTTGTTCAATGTTTTTCTAGTCGTGACGTGATCGATGACAAGCAAGAGCAAAAATTGGCCCTTGCGTGCGAAAAGAATCCAACCAGATTACGATTCTAAACCTCCACGGCAAGAAACCGCCCCCGGCTTAACTTTCCCTTTCACTTTCCAAGGATTTTGGGACGATTTGAGTCTTCCTTTTCTTTACGGTATTCTGGCATGGCGAAGGGTTTTCCCGACAGGGTGCGGGCACGGAAAGTGAACGCTATGAAACATCCTGCAAGTTCTACCGGTCGCATGAGGTTTTAGGCATTTGGTCTTTAAGGCGGTCCTTACTTAGAACCGGTTTGCGCCAATCCCGAGGGTCTTAAAAGCATGTGTGATCTTGTTCTTTTAAGTTATAATAGGGGTGAGCGGTTTTCGGTCCGGTCCAATCCGGTCCAACCCAAGAACCGGGAACTGGACCGGGAGGACTGGTTCCCAGTTTCTAGGACCGGGGACCGGACTGGCTAGTCTTGGGACCGTAGACCGGACCGGATCATCAGTCCGATTCCAATGGGACCAATCACTTATTGGTAAAGGCAAGAGGGAATTGGAGAAATTAGATTAGACTTTCTATTCTTTTCAAAAATTTTAAAATGCAAATAAATATATATATGAAAAAATTAAAAATATATATTTATCGGTCCGGTCCAGTCGGTCCAGTTCGGTTCCCACCCTAGAACCGGGAACCGGACCGCCCGGAAACCGGTTCCACTTTTAGGAACCGAAACTGGATCGATATTCCCGAGAACCGGACCAAACCGGTTGGTCCGGTCCGGTCCAGTCCCGATTTGGGCAGTCCATCTTGCACACCCCTAAGTTATACAAGGTTGCTGTATCTTTTCAAAGCTTCTTTCCCAGTGTAAGTTGATTGGCGCAGCAAAATCGTCATTTCTATGGAGCCCATTTGCTTTCACGACGCCATTAAAGACCATCTACAGCTACATATGCTCCCATGTGTTAAATGGCTCGAAATCAGACTGCGTTCGAATTTCAAATACAATCGGCGACGCATCCACGCTCAAAGATGTCGCGCCGTAAAATAATCAAACTTCAGATTTCACGCTTTCGCTGGGGGTAAACCACGCACATAGTTTCCCATGGATCTGTGTCTTTCTGATCAATGTTTTGCTCACTCTATACACCAACACCAGGCCCAGTGGATGAATCAACTATAACTGCTGAAGGAAGGAAGGAAGGCTTTCCCAAGTCCAACCAAGTTGTTGAATGTCAAGTCACTGTCGTCCATCCTTTTTAGAGATCACACGCCTCCCATCAATAATCAAATCTGTACCCAACATCATACGTTTGGTTTTTTCAAAACATCATCCTCTTGGGAGCAACGGAACCCGATTGTCCTCATTCTCTGCTCTATTCACTCGCAGGTTGTGGTCCACTGTCATCACCTCCACTTCCTTCCTTAAATTAATAATCTGTGCAGTGTAATGTATTTTTCTCTCTCTGTCTCTCGGCTGTTGGTGATTGCCTAGGGAAGCTCAGCATTCATTGTGCTACATCGCTATTACATTAAATCTTTCTTTGCAAGGGAATCTTGTTCTCTGTGTATCTATGTTTGCTTTTTGGGCATTTGCGTTTATCCTGATTCTGAAGCATTCAGGAAAGAAAGCAAGCATACATGGTTGTGCCTTCTTCCTTTCTCCAACTCAACCAACACCATCCTTTTACTTCGTGTGCATGGAGAATCAAATCATTCCGGTGGAAAGACAGCGATGAGAATGAGTACCTTTCAACCGCAAAGGGTATGTCTAGGGACTGTGTCGCTAGGATCCAAGTGCACATATGCATGATCGCGATTGCGATATGATCAATTTGAATAATAGTGTGAATGGAGAGGATGGATAGCGGCTCGCAGCACTCCGTTGAATCAAGCGCATCTGTAGAAAAGAAGCTTCGGATGCTTCGAAAACCGGCCCGTTTAGATAAGTTTAAGTTAAAGATTTATTTATTGACTTTCGGTCAAAGTAAACGAAAACACGCATATTTTAGTTTGACACAATCATGCAAGATTTCCTATGGTTGAAATTTGGCGTTAAATGTCCATAACAGATGATTTGGAATAGCCACAACACAAGTCCATCACGGGAATCATGAAGAAGAATCCTGCTAGCTGCAAGCATTTTCCTTTCTTATGCTCTTGCAGACTCCACCTTCACTGGGTCTGTTGCTATGAAATTGTTTCTTTAATGCTGTCTCTCTCTCTCTCTCTCACGAGCAAACAAGGAGCAATCCCTATAATTTAAACAGGGAACCGAATTGAACAGTGGATTTTTAATGGGTGTCCATGTATGATGCACTGAAAGATTCCATTCGAGCAAGCATTTATAAGTGGACTAGATTAGTTGCAGAGACAGAAAAATATGGGTGGGAGAAGTAGACCCATCATGTGGAGATGCCCTTCTTCCTTAAGTTTTGTCTGGTCTTCGTCTCTTTTATTGTTCGTACGCACACAAATAAGGGATAACTTTCCGGTGAAGTCATGATTAAGTAACACGCAACCTCTTCCATCCTTTCTTTGGATGCCTCTCTCTTTGTACTGATGCCTTCTTTTTTTGTGCTTTTTCATGTAACATATCTTCGCTGGACGGCCTTTCTGTGTCCAAAGTCGTTTGCCATTTTTGGATAAAAAGGCCAGATTGCGGGGGCACGACCTCTTGGCACAAAGTCACGGTTACGAATTGAGCACGCGAAATCGCGATCTTAGATATCGTGTAAGATTCGTGTGGACATTTCCTTGATTGGTCTGAAAGGTCATTTTAGTTTCGTGTGGAAACGATGTGGTGAGGCGAGAACCATGTAAAGAAGACATTGATCGCGCTTGCAAAAGCCAAAGCAAGAAAATTCTCCAATTGAAATGTGAAAATGCACTTCTTTTCCCATCCCTTTTGGGCTGGCAATTTGTAATTTCGCTGTGCGAGGAAGGTCTAATGATTCGGGAAAAGGAGAGGCCGATTTCACTGCATCTGAAATCCGATCAGATGAAAAACTAGAGAAAAGAACTGCTAATGTCCTCCTGATCCAACATGTTGCAAGAAGAGGCGTTGTCGGTGATTGAGCTCGAACATGGAGATGATGGAGGAGGAGTGCCTAGTGAATCACCAGCTATGGCTTCACTCTGAAGATCAATCACTGAACTTCTCTTCTTCCTCTTGGGATGAGAAAGATTGCCATTGCCATTGCCATTTCTCCTGGGCCTCAATTTCTTCTGGAACAGCCGATAGACCGCCCAATTTTCATCTCCCACATGAGCCGTCTGCAAAATTTGGGTCAATCCAGACAACACCATAAGGAACAGGCCAGACCACGCAGCATGTCCACTAAGCACAAGTGAACTGCTGCTACAAGATGAAACGAAATTAAGTTATCTTGGTTTAGATTTTTCTTTTTTCCTTCTTTACCGTGGTCAATTTCGAGTTTTCGCGAGTGCCCGCGAGGCTAAATTCGTGCAGGATCCATCGGGTGCCGGCGACATTGGAAGTGGAATGCCTCCCTTCACAGAAAACCAGAGTCTTCCTCGTCCCAGTGACTTGGTTTCCAGTGCCATCAGAAGCTGAGATTTGCTTGCTGTTGGCCTTGTACTTCCAATAGCCAAAACCAGCTGCGACTCTTACGCATTCATGGCCACTGGAACTCCTATTTCTTCTGCTGAAGAAGTACCTCCTCTCCCTCAAATTGCCTAAACGCAATCAAATACACACAAATTTCCTCAACACGATACACATAGACCAGCACAATCCCAAGTTTTCAACGTTTTCATTTTGACCATTCAAAGTCTCAGCCAATTTTCCATGTCCTGAGCACATGCTCGAGCTCATGGGGCCATGTCTAATTGGACATTATTCTATCAATTCGGACACAAAGAGGTGATAAGATATTATAAAGCAACAAACTGCACCGGCAATCGGAAATTGCACAGCCCAAAGCATTAAAATAGTCGCCTCACACCCTCCAAAAACTAGGACGATAACGACAACTTCTCCCCCAAACTCAATATATGTTGAAAAAAAAAAGGGAGACAACTTTAACAACCGAGGCAGACAGGAGATCAACGGGCAACGATACAGACACCAGGGTCAAAGGCCGGAGCTGGGTTGTCATGCAAAGATTTACCTGGCAAGCCCCAGGGATCGGTCCCGAACACATCGAGCTCCGGAATCACGGAGGCGGGCAACGGGACGGCCTGGACCTTTCGCTTCAGGTAATGGACCAGCAGCTCCTCGTCCGTGGGCCGGAACCTGAACCCGATCGGCAGCTTGATCCCTCCTCCGCTCACGAAGAACCTCGGCATCTCCATGTCTTCCCCTCCCCCCCCCCCCCCGAAAAGAGAAAACAAAGCGACAGAACGAGGAAACCCGCGACGACCCCTCTCGGCTCAGCGAGCTAGAGCCCGAGAACGCATGGCCACAACGCTTCAGGGGTAGAAACAGAGAGACCCAGAGGCAAGAAACGGCTGGAAAAACGACACTAGAGGCGCATTTGGGTTAAAGCGGTGGTGGTGGTGGGTTAAGAAGGGAGGCGAAACGAGGGTTTATTTATATGCAAGATGGAAGGGGGGAGAGAGAGAGTGGAGGAAGCTGCTGCTCCTATCTCTGACTCGTGAACACTCTCCTTGCTTGACAAGGAGTGTAGGGGGTAGTATTTTGGGTTTCGACTTTTTTCAATTTCGACGGTTCGACCCAAACGTGTGAGAAGGGATGTGTCGTCGGGGTCGGGGGATGTGGCCAATGGAAACTTGGGATGGTGGGTGGTCAACGCTGCATCGGACCGTGTGGTTTTACTGCTCGTCAGACCCATGTGTCGCACGTTGCTCTCTGGTGCTGCATTTTAATAAGTCTTTTGCCCAACTGAGCACCCCTCGGTTGAGGGCGACGGGCCCCCCACCCCACAACCCCTTTCTTTTTGTTTGCTTGCTTGTCGTGGGAATGGATGGTTTCGTTTCTTCTTCTTCTTCCTCTTCTTTTTCCAAATTTTATGAAAGTTGAGAGTGAACCGAAATTTTTTTCCAGGACTGGTCAAGTGGTTTCGTTTCTTTTCTCTCTCTCTCTCTCTCTCTCGGAAAGAGACCGTCGTGATGGTTTCGTTTTGTCGAGCAACCGGAGAGACGGCGACCGCCCCTCGTCTCACGAGTATTCTGGAGTCGCTCCCTTGTTGGGGGAAGAGCTTTAGAGCCGCCTTACTTTATCGCGGGACTGTCGAATTATATATGGACCCCGAGGGACTCTCCCTCGTTAAACCATAATGACATTATCGGTTTCAACCTCGATGGGAAAATGAAACGGAGCACCAAACGACGTATTTTAGCATACCAAAAGCTGTTAAATCGCCCCCTTCATTCTAGGGTGACCGAGGGATCGCACCGTTCAAGCCTTCCTTTCATACGTTTCCAAGAGGTTGGGAGAAAGCCGCAATCAATAGGATTTTTATATAATCCTCCATTCCAAAAGGAAAGAACGCGAAATTCTTTTTCCATTTCACAGCGATCAATAGATGGGATCTAGCTGTGAAAAGAACGCTCGGACGATGAATAACTCGAGTCTTGATTTTCAACTCCATCAGTCGTTACGAATACCCCCGATCAGCAATACAAGATGCTCTGAAAACACTAATCATCCCTCAAGTGTCGCCTCTTTCTCATTGCCCTACGAAAAGAATACTTACATCTGCACCCCGCCCGTCAATGTCAATAGATACGACGCAGCTGATGAGGTTGGATCTAAAAGTTTTGGTCCCGGTTTTAAATAAACTACTAGTAAGCTGTATCTCATACGGTCGGCGTGATTCGTGTAGACATGCGCGCCAAATGCGCGTAACGTGAAAATCCCCTAAATATTCCGAACCCGTACGATAAAAATAAAATAAAGGAGCCGAATAAGAAGCCCAGTAGGGCAAAAGCTGGATTCCGGACTGTGGATAAGAAGAGTGCGAGGGGGACCGAGTACTTCGCATCTAATCCTCAAAGTAGAAAAATAAGTATAGCTGATGAACGATCGTGCACTCATAAAAACCTATGCGAGGCTTCCCTTCTACTTTATTCTACGAGGTAATGGCTTCTGGATTTTGACTTCGTGTCCCACGATTCTTACCAGCTCATGTGAACTACCTGTGCCCCCCAACGAGCCCATCTACATTATATTAGTGCAAAAGCTACCAAAAACCTCAAATTATGCTCACTATAATAAATTTACTAAATTCCAAACTTGTACCCCGTGTGACACGTTTATCTTCCGTCAATGAATACCTGTTAAAAATCTGTCTACGTGGATGCCGGAAAGCAGATGATGTTGACATGGTACTCGTGTGACTTAAGTGAAATAAAAACCGACGTTGTTTTAACTGAAAAATCATCTGTCGACTAAGTACAAGTTTGTGGTTTAAGGAAAACGTGTCGCAGCGGGCATAGTTTTTTGGGTTTCTGATATCACGAAAAAGTTCCGGATAAATGTATCACGGCAGATATAATTTGGCCCTTTATAATATCTTTAGCTCAAATGAAATCGGACATGAGAGAGAATCTTGATCCATCAGCCGTGATATTAGGGTCGAATAGACAGCTTTTAACTTCGATAATCGGTGGGCAAAAATCGTAGGCTCCTTGTTGTCGAAGCAGCCGTGCAAGAGAGGCGTCGAAGAAAAGGTGGGGGCTACAGAAGATGGTTGAGCCCACGCAATGGTTTTAAACCCATTTCAGCCCCGTTCACTAGCAAGGTATGCTCGGTCTTCCTTCCCCCGACTTTCCACGCGCGCCGCTTTGCGTACAGTTCCGGAAAAAGTCTCGGCCATGAGTGACCTCAACATTGCAAACGTGCGACGTACTGTACCAGTATCGCCTTTCGCTTTTCGCTTTTGCCTTATGGTATCGCCCCCCGCTCGCTTTGACCGGAGTCTCTGTCCCCCCCTGTATACCGCGGGGATGCTGGTGCTCCTCCATGGACGGTTGGGCCGTTTGGATTGCCGTCGCACGCGACCCCCATGGACGGTTCGCCGCATCGATGTGGGGGGAGAACATGGCCGGACTTTGATCTTTTAGAGGAACGAGAAGCCGTGGTACGTCGCGTGCTAGATGCAAGTGCGGACGTCGATATTGGTAGCGAGCATAGAGTCTAATCGCAAGTTAAAATCCAATCCGCCACTATCTGGCAAAAGGAGCTTAGCTCTTGAGGAGGCTATGTTTGGTGGATACGATGGCCTGACCCCATCCGGTCTCTCTCTCTCTCTCTCTCAGTCGTGCGCGCTCTGACGGCAGCTACCTTGCAATCATCGCACAACCGCCGCCACGAAATGGCAACAGTTCCCAAATGGCAAAGCATGATTGATCGATGTTCTCTCTCTCTCTGCGCCAAATTTGGGCTTCGGGACCTCGATCGCCTCATGGTGTTTTCAGGTGACCGCCAAGTTGGGGTCCCCGATCCTGAGGCGAACGGTACCAGAACCCCCTCGCGGTTGTCCTGATGCAATTATTTGTCCAAATCTCGAAAAACATCATTACTATTTTTATGTTTAGTCTTGTTCTATTCCTTGTACAGCAAGCACTCGTTCGGATATCAGATACTCATGTCCATTTATCGTGTCGATTACCAATGATGCCTATCTATATATACCCTTATCTTACGGATCTTATCTTATACGGTAAAAAAGTCATTGGCGCATCCTAATTTTTTTTTTTCTTTTTGCATCTTTGAGAGCAAAAAGCATAGGAGCTATAGAATAATAAGATCGAGAATTTCAATTGCATAACCTCTTCCCGAAGAAAATTGTTCAAAAAATCGTAACTTGGAAAATTATTCAAAAAGTTCTAAACTTATTATACATGGGTTAATTTTGCCTAGAAATTTTTAATTTGGCCAATTTAATTATAAATCTTTTAACGATTCACTAATGAGTCTTTCTGGCCAATCTTAGCCCGAAATTACTAACGTTGATGCTGGGTGTCTTACGTGCAAGGTGGACGTTGCCGTGAATGATTTGTGCAATTCTTTTAAAATTTTCTAATTTCTTCTTTCTTAAAGTTTTCTAAATGATTTTGTGAGGACGCACTATAAAAAAAAAAATAAGGTTTTAGCAACGGCATTTGCCACAAAAATTCTGGCAAAATTTGTCGCTAAATGAAGTTGCGACGAAAATTCTACCACAAAATTCGTCGCTAATTTACCACGAACGCTATTCGTGGAAAAAATCGTCGCCAATTAGCAACGATAGCAACGATGAAATTTGAAATATTTTAGCGACGAAATTAGCGACGACATTTTTTTTAATGATGTACTTGATAATATGTCTTTAGCAATGAATTTTGCCACGAACATTGTTCAGGAACGAATTTAGCGACGAACTCTACAATGAATATTGTTTAGGGACGAAATTAGCGATGAAATTTTATTTTTGCAACGAACTTTTATAATTTGTGATCGTATGATAAAATCATTTCTTTTATTTTTCGATTTTAAATCTAATTAAAAGCAAAATTAATTTCTAGAATTTATATTTAACATTGATTAAGCACTTAATAACATCAAAATATTATAATAATATGAAAATGAAATACATACATCTACATTTCCACAAGAATGACAAACATTTTTCTTTAGAATACAAATAATGAGAGAATAAATAATCTCGAGCACTTTAAAGCACCTGCTTAAGCAACCTCAGGGTGGCAATTCTTTCCAGGGCAAGAACATATTGGGCCAACTGCATTTCTGGCACAAAAGATGCTGAAGCAAAGCTTATCCCCGATAGATATGAAAAGATACTTCCAATCTTGCGCCTGCTCTGCTTTCTCCTATAAGGTTTGCATGAAGTGCTTCATCACCTGACATTCACTTGTTTACATACAATGCGATACTGAATCAGACCATCCTTGGCAAATCTCCCCCTCCGCATATCAACACATAATAACTAACCTGATTGCCAAACAAAACATATCTGCTATTTAATATTCTTAATTAAAACCATAAAATTCCCAAAAGCAAGGAAAACTCAAAGTCCCACAAGCACAGAGAAGAAAGTGAATTACCTACATTGCCAAAATTTCGCATCCAAAATTAAAAGGATTGCACTTACAACATTTATATATCTTCAGGCCATGAAAGCAATTGCTAGAAATTTCTGGTGACACATTTTCAGTCTAATTGATCCTCCGAAAGAGCAAATTAAGAAGCCTAGCTTAACGGACCTACCAATCAATATGCACACTGCACAAGGTTCTTTATTAAGCCAACTTAACTTGCTATGCATTCTAAGATGCTGGTTTGAATAAAAACTTCATCACTTCTCATATGATATCACAAACGGAATTCTTCTCCATACAAATCAAACTATGATATGAATCAAATACCACTTCAAATTTAAGCAAGCTGTTAAGTTTAATACAAATAACTAAACAATACGACAACTGACAATGTTTTTCACTTGCTTAGTAAATGAAGATACCATCGCACAACCATCTTGTGGAAACATCCAAGTATGAGGACTAAGTCATTAGCATTTTTAGCTGAACCTCTGCATAGCCTTTCAAAGTACAAAAGGTCTCACTAATAATAAGTACTCACTATATATCACTACTTTTCGACTTCATCTAAAACACGAATCATACCATATGTTAAAGGCATAATAATCTTGTGCTAACAGTATATAGTCACTATATATCACGTCATTTGACTGCTTTCAAAATGATAATAATAGTTAATGTCAAATCTATATAATGAGGAAACATTAAAGCCTAAACCACAAGTTCATTTGAACAATCCTTTTCCACAACAAGCAAGCCACGCTACTATTTTCCTCAATGTTACAAGTGGCATCTTAACAACTAAGTAATGTAGTACTTACCAAACAAATGCTTGCTGCAGCCCTGAATATGCAATCAGCAGGATTATCAGAAGCATTCGTACGTCAAACAAAGGAGTAATCACAGACTTTGATAGAGACACCAGAGAAGAATGGAAACTAGCAGGGTATTCTGGGGAAGCTCTTTCTTCTCTACTGTCTCTTTTTCTCAAGAAACACATAAGTATGGTGCCGAAGGTCATACTGCAAAGAAACACAATGAACAGTAATTTCGTTCCGCTTGCACTCCCGTCCTACATTTAAGGGACACAAAATCCACAATGAAGGATAATGACACTCTTAGAATCAAGGGAAGATAAGAACAAATGCAGAAACGCTTGTTATAATCATCTTTCCATACGTAAGAAAAGATCTCACTGAAAGGCAGTATTGGTTTCCTTTTATAAATGGACAAAATGAGAAAAAATTCATGTGGTATGATTATGTATGTTAATGAACAAGCAAAAGAATCGAAAAACAAAGAATTGAGTAAGGGGATGCCCCATACAGATTCCTCTCTAAAAACAGCTAACAGCATTAGAAAGTTAACAGAAGGACAGAAAAAAGAAGGAATGAGTAAGGGGATGATGCCAAATACCGTTTCCTCTCTCAAAACCGCTAGCGATACTAGAATCCCAACAACCTGCAAAGACATGTCAAAAAGATCAGGACAACATGCTGGATGTTTAAGATTAAAAGCCTATCTTAAAAAAATCAATTAGCAAATTTGACCTGATGACTGGCAAACATTCCCCAAAATTCTCCATTGAAGGCACCAATAATTGTTCCTTCATGTAAGCTGCAATCTTTTGCATGAGTACGTGCAGTAGAGGTGAGATATGTCCCCTGATAGAAAAAAATTAGGTAAGGGAAAAAACTGATAGCAAAATAAGAGCAGCGGACCTGAAACAAAGACAGACTTAGTTTACAAACAAATCAAGAGGAAGCAAATCCACCTGCCCAACCCATATTATTGACGCAGCAAACCCAAGATATAAACAAACTGGAACCATTGTGTACCTGCATCAGGAACAGCTAAAAGATGAAGAATGTGCAGTCCACAACGAAGTTTATGAGTAAATGAACAGAAACGTAAACTGTCGATTTCTTTTTCAGCCCGAAACTGAACTGTCTAATTTGAAAACTAAGGATGTTTCACCGTCTCTATCGGGCACTTTCTATTTCGTTTTGTCGAGAAAGGGGCATTATGATGGCCAAAAACATTAATACCACAACCGAGTACCCCTCTAATCTACAGAGCCAAGGTATTTATGCATTTGCACTAAGTTAGATGACGAGCTATGCCTATGATGAGCTAACTAACTAGATTTCTGAAGTTTAAAGCATAGTGATCTGCCTGCGACAACATCTCATTAAGATGCCCGGAGGCTCTTATGTTTACCGCGAGCAACCTCATATACCCCATTGTGGGGGAATAAGAGGCCTGACCAATGTATACAATGAATTCACGGACTTGTTGAGACACCGGGACCGGAAAATTTATAAGCAATCAGACTGAGTAGTATAGACAACCTACAGACCCAGAAGGGCATACCAGGATGGTTTCAAATTCGCTAGCTAGGAACAGTCAGTACCCAGTAGTCCCAAGAAGAATAGCATTTTTGGGACCCAATGAACGAACCGCCAAAGAAGCCACCGAGGAGAAGAATGTGAAGGACACGTGCAGTATCCCAAGCGAGATCGTGCCCAAATTATCCGCCTGCAACAAAAATCAAGAAACTCATCAAACCAAAACGCAACGTCAAACGAACCCAAAAAAAAAAACATTCCTACAAGCAAACCTCAGACCCAGAAGTGCAAAAATCCGCCTCTGGGTTTCATCTCACGACCGTCGATTCCTTCTCTTGATTTACCCAAAATTCCAACGAAATAGACTCGGAAAACTCACGGTGTTCACGGTGCTCTCGAGATTCCGAGCAGCACCGTAGGCCAAGAAGATGAGCAAGAAACCGCAGCTCAGGATATGGACATCACGGGCATGGCCTCTCGGCGGCGAAGCAGCCGGCGGGGGGGGGGGGGGGGTGCCTCGGCGGCGACCAGCGGAGCCGAGCCGAGCCTCCTCGTCGGAAGCCTCGGCCTCCTCCTCCGGAGCGGCGATCTCTCGGTCCTCTTGCTCCGCCTCCTCCGCCTCTAATTTCTCGGGGAGCTCCTCCTCCTTGCCCTCGACGGGGGGAAGGAGCCGCCGCCCCTTCGGGCTCCGCGGCCTCCAGGGCTCCGGAGGCCATGGGCGAGGAGGAGTCGCGGGAGGAAGCGCCGGCGGGGAAGGGGTACCGAAAACCCTTTTTCATTATTATTTTTGTCGCAAATTAGCAATGAATTTTTTTTCATCGCTAATTTTTCATGATTAAAATCTTATTTTTTTGTAGTTTAATTTTGCGACGAAATCAGCGACGCCCTAAAAAATATTAAATATTCGGCAAATAAAAAATATTGCCAATGTCGTCGCTAATTTTGCGGTTAATTATGTTTGTCGCTAATTGGCGACGGACTTTTATATTAATAATTTAACAAATAAAAATATCGCAAATGTCATGGCTAATTTTGCGATGAACACTATTTGTCGCTAATTAGCCACGAATAAGTTTTTATCGAAAAATTAGCGACGACATTTGCGACATTTTTATTTACTTAATTGTTAATATAAAGGGTTGTCGCTAATTTCGTCGCTAATTAGCGACAAACATAATTCGTCGCTAAATTAGTGACGATTACAGTTTGTCGCTAATTATAATTAGCGACGAACATATATTCGTTACAAAATTAGCGACGAACTATAAAAATTGTCGCGACGAACGTGCCGCGAAAGTTATTTTGCGACAAATGCGCCACGAAAGTTATTTTCGTTGTTGTTTTCGTCATAAATTAGCGATGAACTGGCGTTCGTCGCTATTTCTATTGCAAATTATCAATGAATTTGCGTTCATTGCTAATATTCCGTGGCTAAATCTTTGTTTTTTTTAGCGACGTTGCAGCCCTCACCTATGGCTAGTGACCTTTGCCAGCTATCGCGCGAGGCCCCGAATCGGTGAAGGGAAATAGAAAGAAGAGAAAGAAGAAAAAGAAAGAAAAGGAAAGGAAAATGAAATAAAAAATTAAAAAAAATAAAGAAATCTACAAAAATCGTCCACGTCAACGTCGTATGTGCCACATAGGACAGCTGACGCCTACCTCAACAATTTCTGGACGAAAATTGGCCGAAAGAACTACATAGGCAAATTGTCAAAAGATTTATGACTGAATTAATCAAATTGAAAAGTTTAGGATTGAATTGGTCATCATACAATAAGTTTAAAACTTTTTGGACAATTTATCCTCATATTTTCCTCATTGGGAGCATCCATGACAATACTTGAAGAATGTGAAATGAATACTCTTACGCAAGGACGGCTCTAGGATATAATCATATATAAACCTAGATCGACCAATGTTTGATCTGAACATTTCGACTCAATTTTGTTTCATAGACCAACTTGAAATTTAGAACCTACTTAATAATCGCGTGAAACAATATTACATTCTACGAGTTTGCAACGGCTGGTCTCATTCCAAACTCGTCCCAATGACTCGAGACTAGTCCTCGAGTCAATCACAGAATTTGACACAAAATTTCAAACTTCGACAAATGTGCCTGAAATTCGCCGAAGTTAGGGGAATGTGGAAATCCATCATATGTTGCTAGTTTTGATAACTTAAGGAGTTGCTTTATTGGAAGAATGTGGTGACACATGGTCTTTGTTGTATGGTAGTTTTTGTTTCGTGCTGGTACGGCCACAGTGAGCAAATTTGCTAGGCATGGATAATGACGCTGATTCTCATTACCCAATTTCATTTTAGAAGAATGCAGACCAAGCGTGTTAGAAGATTAAAGTTGGTGTGCAATACTTAGGTGCTGAACGATTTTTCCCTCTCAGACTACATCACGGCGTTTCACAGATGAGAAGTTGGACAGGTTGGAAAAGAATATTACTAACGGAGGAGCTGTGCCTGAAACCACCGCCAAGAAAGGGGAAGGGCTATCGCGTCGGTCCTGTGTTGCTCGGGTTCTTCATTTTTGTCGTCGTTGGCTCGTGTGAGACTTTGCTTCTTTCCTTCTATAATCATCCGAGATAACTGTCGGGTTTCCGTCTTATCCTAACCCTGTACCAACCTCTCAACATTGGAAGACCACTTAATCCACCTCAATGCCCTCCCTCGGTTTTCGAAGGGGGTGGGACTGAACACGTTGTGAGTGTGGTGCCGTTGCACCGGCAGCACCAAGCCCCATTGACCTTGTGACTTTCGAAAAACGGGGTCCCTCTTTGGACATGCCAATGTTTAGTTACAGCACTCTTTTATGTTAAAGCCGAGGAAAGTGTCAGAAAAATCATAAACCTATTATATTAGTATTAATTTAGTCCTAAACATTTTGTCCTAGTGCCAATTCAATCCTTCCGGCTAATTTTGGTTAGAATTTTGCTGACGTGGACGTCGGCTGGCCCATGTGGCATCGCTGGTGCGACGTGGATAGTTTTTAATAATATTTTAACTATTTTTTCTTTTTTTTCCTTCTCTTTTAGGTGGCCGGCAAGGGTTGGCCTCTGGGGCAAGGGCGAGAGCTGGCAAGGCCACCCTTGCCTAGGCGACGCTTGGCCTCGCCAGATTTGGCCAGGTCGACACAGCAAGGTAACATCGATTTCTTAGAGACCTTTCTCGAGGAAGACCAAGAGCCTTTGTTGAAGAAAGGAAGGAGGTCGAGAAGGCCGACCCAGCAAGGTCTTCGTGGCCTGTTGGCCTCGCCAGATTTGGCAAGTCCAGGCGTCGCTTGGGCAAGGGCGAGGCCAACCCTCACCCAGGCGATGCTCGGTGAGGCCGCCCTCGCCCAGGCGACGTTGGCCTTGCTAGCGCTCGCCCTTGCCCTGGTGAGGCTGATGCTCGCCTGTGCCGGCGAGGGCCACCCTTGCTCAGGCGAGGCCAACCCTCACCGGTCATCGGAAAGAGGAAGAAAAGAGAGAGAGAGAGAGAGAGAGAGAGAGAGAGAGAGAGAGAGAGAGAGAGAGAGAGAGAGAGAGAGAGAGAGAGAGAGAGAGAGAGAGAGAGAGAGAGAGAGAGAGAGAATTCGAAAAAATATTTGAAAAAATATTAAAATATTATTTAAAAATTTCAACATTAGTGCCGGCCATGCCACATAGGCTGGCCGACATCTACATCAACAAAATCAGGTCAAAATTAGCTAGAAGGACTAAATTTGCACAAAAACAAAATATTTATTACTCAATTGGCACCAAAAAGAGGTTTATGGCTAAATTGACATCAATTCAATAGGTTTGAGACTTTTATGATACTTTGCCCATTAAAGCCAATTACAATCCTTGTCAGGAATCGTTCATAGTTCGGGCCGCTCTTGTTTTCCTTGCATGTAACAGCTGATTTTTCAGATAATTATGATTGTATCAAGTCGAGGAATGCCACAATCTTCGAATAATGGAGGTAGCAATGTTATCCTCTTAGGTTGCGTTTGGTTGTCCGGACATTTTTATAGGATAGGATAATGTCGAATAGGATAAGGATATGATAGGATTTTAAATATCCTATCCAATGTTTGTTGACGTCCGGATATAGCATGGATTCAAATATATGTTATCCAAATGAGTATTTGATTTGCATGATTAAAATTAAAAATAAATCATGAAAGTTGTAAAAACTATTCATCCTTCCACAATCCCGCCATCCATGTCGGACGCCCCCTCTTCCTTGTGACTTTGAGAAAGCTGGACATCCCTTTTGCCACCCTCAACCAATCCGACAGATTCTGCAGCACTCTACCACCGACTTCGCCGCTTCGTGATGCCCCCGAGTTCAAGTTCTTTGCCAATCCCACTATCTCCGCCGTCGACGCCTTTCTCTTCTGCGATGAATCCATCATCTCCTTCTTCAATCAAACATGATCTCTCCCTGTTTCCTGTCCTACACACGCTGTTCACCTTCAATACCTTCCTTTCTCGTCAAATCCAAAAGAACTGATATAAGGATCACACTGAATCTCGATTGTAGCATCCGACAATGGAGGCATTACAAACGAGAGTGGAGTTGTGGATCAGAGACCAGTGGGTGAAGTTCCCATGGTGTCATAGGGCCCACCGAGACAGCGCAGATCCGGGTTCGCAAGCTCCTCTGGTCTAACTCGTTCGGAGTGATGGTCAAGGCTTTTTAGAACGAACTGTGAAACAATGGTGGAGGGACAATTCACTCTGGCAAGAATGTTGCTGCTGGCGAATTCAACGGGAAAACCTGCAAAGAGTAAATAAAGTAGTGGTCTCTTCAGGAAGTGTTGGACTTGCTGAGATTGTTGGAGTTGCTGCAGTTATCATCGGCAATTGCTGGTTGTTCGCTGGGAGTTTGCAAGGATGCTTGGTTGGTGCAGATGGAGAGGTGAGGCCGACGAGCTCTGGCGCCACCTTTCCCTGTGGCCGAAGGCGGGAAGCAAGTCATCACTGGTGGGAGGAGCGGTGGCCAGTGGAGTCTGATGATGGCGGTGTTGGGCAAAAGAGAAGAAGAGCGATCACCGCAGAAGTGAGGAAAGAACCGTAATTTATTTTTATCAATTTTCTAAATTTCACATATCTTATCTAAGTCTATCCCACCCTCTAGGTGGGATTTTTTTATCCCGACTATAACCGGGCTATATCCGGTCATATCCGGATTTCGCATTACTCCAAACACTAGATAGGATAATAGTTATCCTATCCATTATTTTATCCAGCTCACAAAACACAGCCTTAGTCTGTAGGCAAAAAAGAAATAAAAAGTTTGTCCAACTAGTTATCATGTTGTGAACTCTCAGATTTGAATATGACATGACTCGGTTTTGTCTCGGTTCAGTGTCTCTCCAAAGAAATTTGTTCAAGTGATGCAAAATCACATTTATTCTCTCCTTCAAAAAAGTCATCGCATCTTCTTCTACTTTTATTTTAATGAACTACCCTTTCAAGACTTCTAATACGCCACAGCACCAATCATAACTCTAAGGATGCACGTGTGTGGTCAGCTAACTAATAACTTTTGTAATTAGTTTCTTTTCGGTTTTCCAAATCCACGTTGCAATATTGATATAGGACAATACTCTGAAATGTAAAAAGAAAAGCACAAAAGGCACTCTAAAAAGTACTGATGAATTCATTAACCGCCAATTTGAGATTTGTCATTCGGCATAAACGCGTAATTTCTCGCTCTATCAAGTCAATCTATTGTGAAATTAGTATTCGTCATTCTCAATGAAATTGTGAGAGGACGTAATATAAGATTTGATTATATGAATATTTATTTGATAAAGCAATCGAAAGCTTCAAAAGTGCCTTTTTTTTTTCTTTTTGGGTAGTTAAGTTATTCGTTCCATTTAAAACACAAACACATGCTTTTTCCTCCGAATTGTTTATTTAAAAACTCATATTCACTCATGTTCGTGGGTTATGAAAAACTCGTAGATATCGAATCAAGTAAAATTTTTTGAAAGCATTTAACTCCAACGTGAGTGTATGAAGTTGTGTAAGATACGAATTACATAAGTTCAAATTAATTAATCTTTTCGCAAGTTCATGTTTTCGGTCTTGACTACCATTTCTTTCACACGTGGTGAGAAAACTCATCGGGCACTCCCCTAGTTATAAAGCTAAACAACCGAAACACTCATCAGCAACCTATCAATGATCAAAATGCTCGCACAGCCAAGCCATCATGAGCCATGACCTTCCCTTCTCCTTCCCCCTTACAGCAGCCACAATTACGCGGAACCGAAGTGCACACACGAAACCCCGCGCGCGCGCACACACTAGAGATCAATCCCGAAGCCATAATCAACGCCTAAACCACCAAACACATACAGAGCACGAAGACCCCAAGAGAGCATCGATTAGGAACCGAACTGAAAGGCTCCGGCAACAAAACCACCAAAAGCGGGAAGAAGAAACTGGCCACGTCTTTGGCCTCCACTTCGATTTCAAAGTTGGTGCCCTTCAAGGTCTTGACGAAGATCCTGATGGGCCAAATCAGTCGATGACACCATGAACACTCGCACCCATGATCAACAATAATGGTCTAAGGACACTCCTGCGGTGCAGTCCAATCCAAGTGAATCCGAATAGCAAGGATAAATGTAAGGCTGTGTCGTATCAAGCACCAACGAGAAGAGGAATATGAAACTTAAATGTAGAAATAGCAAGCAATCTGACATAAGGCAGACACGAATTCGAACATGAACACCACTTAGACTAAGTTTGAATTCGAACATGAACACCACCTAGACAAAGCCCGGTTCGAACTTACCAAACCATATAGAAAGCTGTTTCAAACGGTACCCCAGCAAATTTTATTGAAAAAAAGAAAAAACAGACAGACCGAAACTCCCGGTCTAGACGGTGAAGAGATTGCAGAGAAGATCCCCCTTCTGTCTCCAATCGTGGGTCGACCAATTTTGTTGCGATATCCAAAAGCTTCCTTGTGGTGTTGGGGACAAATAGAAGGACCGCGGGCAGAATCACAGCAGGGCGTTAGGCAAACGAAGAGCGGGTGGGGCGAAGAAGAAGTAGAAGAAATAACTAGACAAACTTGAGAAGTGCACGGGTACACAAGGGTGGTATCATCAAAATGCAATTCACCACACACACACACACACACACAGACAAACAAACAAACATATATAGCTGAGGCATCAAGAAGCAACAACGTGAAGAGCGTGGGGAAGTAGCCGGAAGGTCATATCTTAATCTCAATCCAAATACTTCCTAACAAGATATCACTAACCCTTCTGCATCAGAAACATCTTGCTAGACTGTGCAAGCTTTTACAAGGAGGGGCATCTGGCAACTTCCAGGGGACGGGTAACATAGAATTTCACCTCCGATGAAAATGACATGGGAGGGGGATTGACAGATTGACTGATCGATTGAGGACGAGGAGTCCGATTTCTTTAGACAACCATTCGGTTCGCTATGAATAAATCTTGTTATGAACGAAGGGATACTCATGCTAACTACGAATGAAGGGATCGCCCGAGGTGGTGATATTGAAATCCACAAAAATGCCCATCTCATCCAATCCATCGTCCTCCTTCGACGCTCAAACAGAATTAGATAGTAATATGAACGGATCCTCCTTCGACTGAGAGAGAGAGAGAGAGAGACCTGGCAGAAATGGACGGCCTCCTGCTTGCCGTCTAGCCATATGAAGCCGGTGACCTGGGCGACCGCGCCGCGGGTGGGGATGTCGGTAACGCAGACCAAATTGCTGATATGGTACTGGCATTGAACGGAGGTGAGCTTGGCAACGATAGCCTCCTTGCCCGTGATTATCTCCCGGTCCTTGAAGTTCAGCATCGACTCTTCCTGGAACAGGTTCACCAAGTCCACCCTGTTCGTGTCGAACGTCCGGTAGTAGTCCTCCATGAACTGCTTGGCCTCCGCTCTAATCCGATCCATGGTTTCCGGATCCATCTCTCCCCCCCTTCTGGTTCCGTGCGCGATGCAATTGCAGACGGAACCCACAAGACGACAAGAGAAAAGCCCTAAGGGGATTGGCTTCTAGAGTTTTCTTATTTATCTGGAATCGTCGCGTCCGTCCCACGTTCTCGCCAAATAAAAAACTCGACCGACCCGAAACCGGTCCGTCGGGTAGAAATACCACAATCCCAATAGGGGGTTTTTCTCTCCGTTCCCAGAGAAAAACCATTCTTCCTCTCTGCTCCATGGATCTTCGCTCATTCGTTGCATTCTTCGGCAGCTGCTACTATGGCATCTCCGACCATGCGAGGGGCCAAGTGATGCAATATTATCATCAGGATTCTGCCTTCATTTTCAATCATTTGCCTGCCGTTGGCGTGGTGCAGATACATGGTCTTTTTAATGTGGCCTTGATCCATGCATCCGTAGGGTGCAAAGTTTCGTCATTAGGTTTTTTAATCCGGTGATCCTATACAAACTCTTGTGGAATTCTTCGGCAACCACCACACTGTGCAGGGAGAGCAAGACCGTTTATTCAGGTATCTTTCTAAACAACAATCCTTCGCTATGGTTTTCTAATTTGTAATTGAATTCGAATTTCTGTATAAATTTTCATTCTGCGGCCATCTATACAGAAATTCGGATTCAATTACAAATTCGAAAACCATAGCGAAGGATTGTTGTTTAGAAAGATACCTGAATAAACGGTCTTGCTCCCCCTGCACAGTATGGTGGTTGCCGAAGAATTCCACCAGAGTTTGTATAGGATCACCGGATTAAAAGACCTAATGACGAAACTTTGCACCCTACGGATGCATGGATCAAGGCCATTAAAAAGACCATGTATCCGCACCACGCCAACGGCAGGCAAATGATTGAAAATGAAGGCAGAATCCTGATGATAATATTGCATCACTTGGCCCCTCGCATGGTCGAAGATGCCATAGTAGCAGCCGCCGAAGAATGCAACGAATGAGCGAAGATCCATGGAGCAGAGAGGAAGAATGGTTTTTCTCTGGGAAAAACCATAATCAACGCCTAAACCACCAAACACATACAGAGCACGAAGACCCCAAGGGAGCATCGATTAGGAACCAAATTGAAAGGCTCCGGCAACAAAACCACCAAAAGTGGGAAGAAGAAACTGGCCACGTCTTTGGCCTCCACTTCGATTTCAAAGTTGGTGCCATTCAAGGTCTTGACGAAGATCCTGATGGGCCAAATCAGTCGATGACACCATGAACACTCGCACCCATGATCAACAATAATGGTCTAAGGACACTCCTGCGGTGCAGTCCAATCCAAGTGAATCTGAATAGCAAGGATAAATGTAAGGCCGTGTCGTATCAAGCACCAACGAGAAGAGGAATATGAAACTTAAACGTAGAAATAGCAAGCAATCTGACATAAGGCAGACACGAATTCGAACATGAACACCACTTAGACTAAGTTTGAATTCGAACATGAACACCACCTAGACAAAGCCCGGTTCGAACTTACCAAACCATATAGAAAGCTGTTTCAAACGGTACCCAGCAAGTTTTATTGAAAAAAAGAAAAAACAGAGACCGAAACTCCCGGTCTAGACGGTGAAGAGATTGCAGAGAAGATCCCCCTTCTGTCTGAAATCGTGGGTCGACCAATTATGTTGCGATATCCAAAAGCTTCCTTGTGGTGTTGGGGACAAATAGAAGGACTGCAGGCAGAATTACAGCAGGGCGTTAGGCAAACAAAGAGCGGGTGGGGCGAAGAAGAAGTAGAAGAAATAACTAGACAAACTTGAGAAGTGCACAGGTACACAAGGGTGGTATCATCGAATGCAATTCACCACACACACACACACACAGACAAACAAACAAACATATATAGTTGAGGCATCAAGAAGCAACAACGTGAAGAACGTGGGGAAGTAGCCGGAAGGTCATATCTTAATCTCAATCCAAATACTTCCTAATAAGATATCACGAACCCTTGTGCATCAGAAACATCTTGCTAGACTGTGCAAGCTTTTACAAGGAGGGGCATCTGGCAACTTCCAGGGGACGGGTAACATAGAATTTCACCTCCGATGAAAATGACATGGGAGGGGGATTGACAGATTGACTGATCGATTGAGGACGAGGAGTCCGATTTCTTTAGACAACCATTCAATTCGCTATGAATAAATCTTGTTATGAACGAAGGGATACTCATGCTAACTACGAACGAAGGGATCGCCCGAGGTGGTGATATTGAAATCCACAAAAATGCCCATCTCATCCAATCCACCGTCCTCCTTCGACGCTCAAACAGAATTAGATAGAAATATGAACGGATCCTCCTTCGACCGAGAGAGAGAGACCTGGCAGAAATGGACGGCCTCCTGCTTGCCGTCTAGCCATATGAAGCCGGTGACCTGGGCGGCCGCGCCGCGGGCGGAGATGTCGGTAGCGCAGACCAAATTGCTGATATGGTACGGGCACTGAACGGAGGTGAGCTTGGCGACGATAGCCTCCTTGCCCGTGATTATCTCCCGGTCCTCGATGTTCAGCATCGACTCTTCCCGGAACAGGTTCACCAAGTCCGCCCTGTTCGCGTCAAACTTCCGGTAGTAGTCCTCCATGAACAGCTTGCCCTCCGCTCTAATCCGATCTATGGTTTCTGGATCCATCGACGGCGCCATCTCTACCCCCTTCTGGTTCTGTGCGATAGGCAATTGCAGACGGTACCCACGGGAGAGAGAGAGAGTAAGCCCTAGGCGAGAGAGTTCTCCTCTTTATTTGGACCACGTTTCCCCCAAAAGAAAAAAACCCGACCCACCCGAAACCGGTCCGTCGGGTAGAAAGACTAGAAAGCCCTTCTTTTATTACTTTCTCTCTTTTTCAGCTATGGTTTTCCTCAGGCTGGTAGCCGTGTGGAGATCAGCGTTCTCCGATGATACCTATTGGTTCTTATTTTCTCCTTGGTAAGAGGCTTCTTCTCCCGCTTCCACTCTTAAATCTCTACCAACGAGTCCTTTAAACCGATTCTCTTTTGAAGTCATTTTCTGTTTTCATTCTATTCGGGCAAACATACTAATTTATCTCACGTGTAGTGACATCGATTTTGCTTTTCCAGTATCTTGGAGGGATCTCCATCGTTGGGCATAGATTGTTCCGAATATATGCGGTATGTACGGTCTTGAATAGTTGTTTGAGATTCATCTTCCAAACCGTTGTTCCAGGCTTTGAATCTTTTTCCCTCGTGAACTTTGAATTCTGAAGACATCGAATCATATGTTCAAGTGTTGCAGATTCCAACCCTTTTGTTTGGAGGTGCTTAGAATTGTACAGTCCGTGCTTCCCCTGAAAAGGACCCTTAATTTGGTTTACCAATTACGTGCAAGTCTGATTAATAGCTTGCTCAAGCGTTTCTTGTAATTGCCAAGTCAATTTTGAAGCATTTTTAGCACAATACAGGATTGAGCTCAGTTGCATGACATCTCTAAGTAACTGGAGGTTCCATTCAGCATGATGATTATATGGGCACATGCATTCTTTTTGACAGCCGGCGGGGCATATGATTACAAAGGCTGCAGTCCCGGCATACCCAGTTCGAACATTTGAATACAATGATATTGTCAAAAAGGAGCAACAAGTGTCATGGGAGAAGGAGCAAATGGTCATGCTTTTGGTGAAAGCTTCTGGAATCTCGGTTGAAGAGGACCTTGGGGTCTATCTACGGCAATCCTTTTCTGACTGCAACCTTCTCATTGAAAGATGCTTTGAAACGGTTAAGGAGCTGAGAACTTCTGAGTTGGGTCCTTCTCATGCTGATTTGGAATCATTTGAAAGAATTAAAAATCTGTTATATTTGCGGGTTCAGGAGTTAATGCTATATGAGAAAGCACTTGAAGAAGAGATGCTGGAAAAATCTCAGAAGGTTGATAATCTTTCATATCAGTTGCAATTGTTGTCTTAAGAACTTGAAACACTCAAAGAGGAAGAGGATCGTTTGAAAAAAGATCTCGAACGATCAGAAGAGAAATCTGCTCTTTTGAGAGAAAAATTATCTATGGCAGTCAACAAAGGAAAGGGACTGGTTCAAGATAGAGAAAACTTGAAACATCTTCGGGATGAGAAGAACTCAGAAATTGAAAACCAAAGCTTGAGATACAGCAGTAGGAATCTGCAGTTACTGAGTCCGGGGATCAGATAAACAGAATGTCTACTCACATTGAGCACATACCAAAGTTGGAGGCGGATCTTGTTGCCCTAAAAGATCAACGGGATCAACTTGAGCAGTTCTTATTGGAGAGTAATAACATGTTGCAGAGGGTGATTGAGTCCATTGATGGTATCGATATTCCTGCAAACACTGTCTTTGAAGAGCCTGTGGAAAAGTTAAAGTGGCTGGCGGGGTACCTCAATGACTGTCAAAAGGCTAAGGAACTTGCTGAAGAAGAGTTGGCCAAAGTTCGAGAGGAATCTAGTGATTTATTTGGCAGGTTAGCTGAAGCCCATGCTGAGCTGAAATTGTTGCAAGAGGAAAGGCAGGGGTTTGAACAGTTGAAAGAAGAAGCCACCGACTAAGAAAGCAAGTTATTTGAAGCCAAAGCATCTATCAAAGCTCTGGAAGATTTGTTGTCAGCAGCACAGGATGATGTCCTCAGGCTTGCGGAAGAAAAGAGGGAAATAGAAACCAGTAAGGAAAATGTTGAGAAAGAGCTGCTGAAAGCCATTGAAGTAGCTTCTTCCCAAGCTAGTAACTTCACTGAGGCTTGTGCTCTCAAGAAGTCCTTTGAAGAGGCATTGTCGCAGGCAGAGAATGATGTTGATGCACTCACCAAGGAGAACGAAGCAGCTCAAGTCTTTAGAGCTGCGGCAGAAAGGGAGCTAGATAAACTAAAGGACGATATTTCTATTCAGACTGGCAAATTGGCAGATGCACAACAAACTATAAAGTCACTAGAAGATGCATCATTGGGGCTGGAGAAGAAAGTTGGTTTATTAACTCAGCAGAACCATAATTTAGAAGGTGGGAGAAGCCATATGGAGACTGATCTGAAGAAGCTGCAAGATGAATCTGCAACCAAGGAAATCAAGCTGGCAGCTGTTTCCGTAACCATTAAATCATGGGAAGATGCAGCGTTAAAGGCTGAGAATAATGTTGGACCTTGAGAATCAAAACAAGAGATATAAACAGGAAGTATTGGCACTCAATTCAAAGTTGAATGCATGTCTAGAAGAAATGGCTGGCAACAACGGCAGTTTGGAGAGCAGGTCTCTAGAACTTGTCAGTTACCTAAATGAGTTGCATGCCCTTGTGAAAAACGAAACGTTGTTTCCCTCATCAAGGATTGCTTCGAGAAAAAATGGGAGTGCCTGAAGAGCATGAATGACATCCTTGAAAGTGTAAAGGATCGATATATTTGCTTACATTCAGAAGCAACAGAAAAGCAAACCGTCCATGGGGTATTGTAGAATATCTGCTTCTTTACTGCTGATTACCGTTTATGCAAAGGTTTCTTATGTAGCTTTTCTCTTTCTATGTATGAGAAAGATCCCATCACCACAAAACAGCTCCCTGTTGAACTTAGCAATAGCCTGGGTGTTGAGATAGAAGCTGGTCTGATGAATGGTGGCTGAAGATGTCTCTTCATTGTTTAGAAGGACCATAGAAGTTTTCGGTTAAAAAACAAAATTCCTGTCGACAAATTTGAATGCTTTTCCACATTTATACATGAACTTCTGGCAGCTCTTTTGAAAAAGTTAGAGGAAAGATGTGATGATGTAAAAGCCATGTCTCAGGACATGAGATCGTTGAAGCAAGATATGAAAGATATCGAAACGTACAAGCTAGAGCATGGAAATGCAGTGGCCATGTTGGAAGATGACATTTTGACTTTATTATCTGCCTGTACTGATGCCACCACAAAATTACTGCTAGAAGTTGAACGCAATTCTCTTGGGCAGTTGTCTAGTGCTGAGCTGGAAACCTCACGTAGATCTTATGCAGAAGAAAGAGAAAGTAGTATAATTAATGCAGAATGGTATCACAAGAAGGTTTGTGGCAGCAAACATGCCAAGCCAATTCGAGATTTGTTATTTTCTGTTCAAAATGTTCATGCTTTGATTAAGCAGTTCCAGAGCACAAGTGAGGTGGCAACTTCAAAGATACAAAATTTGGAAAATGAACTTAAAGAAGCAAAAGCGGTTTCTCTGGAAGCCATAGAAGACAGAGATATGAAGCAAAATACGGGGTGGGGTCCTTGAGCTGGAGACTGAGGTAGATACTTTGCAAAATTCATGTGGTGAGCTGAGGCTTATACTCAAGGACTGTCAAGCTGATTATGACAAGTTGAAGGAAAGAGAGGTTGAACTCTTAGAGGTGCACAGTAACTCGTTGATGAAGCAACAAGGTGAGCAGTTTTGTGTCATGATCTCATTGTCAAGCTTTTCTTTTGTTTCTATGAATCTTTGCCAGTTCTCACTTAATAATATATTTGTTTTTTCGTTTCTCTAGAAGCAGAAAGTTCATTCCTGTCCCCATCCCAACGGACAGCACTTTTGGACAAGGTCGATGGGGTTAGAATCTCCTCAGAAGAGTTAGGAGGAGACACAGAGCCCCAAATTTCTCCTCATGTGAAAAAGCTATTCTATATTGTAGTTAGTTTTACTAGAGCGCAAGAACAAATAAGTTTGTTGTCACATGATAATCAAGAGCTACAGTCCCCTTGCCGACCAAGTTCTTGAAAATAAGCATTTGTGGGAGGAAGTTGAAACTCGTATGAGATATGAAGAAGACTCAGAGAAGATGAAGAGAGATTTATCTAAGCTAAGAGTTATTTTGGAGAAAATTACAAATATGTTTGGTGGTAGTGAGTTAGTTGGAGACCACAATACTTTTAGCTTAAAGGGACTTTTAGCAACCTAAGAAAAGCAAATTGCGAATGTGCTTATGGAATTTGAAAACTCTAAATCGGAAGCCCAAGAACTTGAAATGAAGTTGTTAGGAAGCCAGAAGGTTGTGGAGGAGTTATCGAGTAAAGTTAAATTGCTTGAAGATTCACTTCAAGGTAGAAGTACCCAACCAGAGATCATCCAGGAGAGAAGCATTTTTGAAGCATCTTCATTGCCTGCTGGTTCAGAGATATCTGAAGTTGAAGATGTGGTAATGTTTTATTTTTTGGTTTATTCATACAGTTCCCTCATCCCCCACCCAACCCCATCATTATGCTTTCAGGCCATGGTTTTACTGAGCACAGTAACCACAAATTTTGGCAGGCATTTTGCTATTATATTCAAGTAATGGGCATCTTAGTATTAAAAGGTCATATTGAAGGCCCTCTTCTCATTCCCATTTGTTAGGAGGCAAGACTGGAGATTTCTGTTTGGATAATAGATTGTCTCATTTTGTATTTGTTTTCTTTCCTTGAGTTTTAGCTCGCATAGCTACTCCCAGGAAAGGTCACGGTATGCTTCCTTGATGCTACGTTTTCTTTCCTTAAGTAGACTATCAGAGAGCTACCTTCTTGTTCTAGCTGATGACGTAGGTAGATGTTAGTTATTGTTTGAAGAACAACCATTTTTATAGCTGCTGTTCCCGCCCTCCATTTCAGAATGGTCAAAGATTTCTTTGCATCTGAATACTGGTTGGATTAGCTAGGCATTGGGCTCATGATTTATTGTTGTTTCTGTGTCATATTATATCTGCCTATTTTGATGATGCCTCAATAGGAATCATCTCTGACTTTGGAGCCTCTAGGTTAGAACCTCA